ACAGAGCAGATGCTAACTTAGCTGTATTCAGTAACAGGAAAAAGAAGTATTTCAAACCACTCCCACACTCATTTTTGAATCTTTCATCCACAGCCAGGGCAAAGCTAGCACACCCTTGCTTCTCATGGAGCTCTGTGGAGGGTGGAAAGTGGGTGGAGGGCAGGGTGTGGAAGAAGGGGTCTGACGAGAACACAGGAGTTGGTAGGTCAGCATGCCGATATCCAGGGCTGCCAGATGTTAAAGGAACAGATAGTGGTAGATTTTGAGTTGTGTTTAGTGCTAAGTAATGTTACAAGTGATATATTAATTTGTGTATTTAAATTTAAGTCCTCTGAAATTCAGTCATAACTTTGAGCTATCTTGAAGAGTCCCCAACAAAACGTAAAGTGGTGTGATCAACCCTGATGTTCTTGCTCACATTTGTGTCATACCTAGTACAGATATACTCTGAATGGATCGTCTGGACCTACTGCCTTCGGGTGGGTATATGATCATGTGACCACTGTTGGCAACCTTGGGCACGCACTTCCTAGAAGTTTCTGTAATAGATGCTCATATACTTAGATACAGATGAACAATTTGTTCAATTAATTTGTATTAACTAATTTCCCAGAATGAAAATGAACTACCTGCATAATTTCATGTCTTTTGGGAGTCACATCCTCAAATGTCTTCATTGCTGGACAATTAATGTAATCGAGTGAAATGGGCTGGCTGTAATACAATATGGTGGGGTAAGGACTGTAGCAAATATATTTAATTCCATATTATTAAACAAAATGCATCACTATGACATCCTTGTTTCCCACCATTTTATCACCTTCGAGTCTTCACTATCTTCATTAGAAGAATTCTTCTTTAATTACATTTTCTGAATGACTTGGTGATGGCATCACATAACAGACTGCCTTTTTGTCACTGAATAAAGTGATTTGGCTTTTTAGAATTTTCCACATGATGAGCTCATTTATTCTTTTCCTTTCCTGTTTAGTTGTAACTGAAGAGGAGAAATGAATGTCCTAGAAACAGCCCCAGACTCCTTCCAGAAAACTTGTGGAGGGAAAAGTATTCTTGTTAAAAAGTCACAAGTTTACTTTAACAAGCTCAGCTTTAGACTATTGCAGGCACAAGGGACTCCATCCCTATGCAACCTATTTGCACTTTGATCTCAGAGAGAAGTAGGTCAGTCAACTTTTAATGATGTCCTCTGAGATGTGGTTCCTTGCTACGGTGTAAATATTAGACTGTGTCTTGTATTCCTGTGGGAGTAGATTACCAGGTTATGATATAACAAGGGGAAATGAAATGATGTCTTCTTAGGTATGTTGGCCCCTTTGGAACCATCCTATTTTATGTAATTAATGGTCATGTAGAGCTGTGATCACAAAAACATATTGACATGGTCTGTTTGCTAAAGAGATGGATAGGAATGTCTTGGCAGGTCTGTTAGCAGTCAAAAAATTGAAAGTTACAGTTGAAAATGATGAGAAATGTGTGAATTTTGGAGTCCTGTAAAGTTGTACTCTATTCCCTACTGTGCCACTTCCTAGCTGTGTAACCTAGGGCTAAGTTGCATAACTTCTTTGGATTCTGTTCTCTTTATTGTATATAGTCATGTATTTCTTCAGGTTTTTATAAGGATGAAATTTCTCAGTCTGTAAGTGATAGATAATATGTTCCCTTCCCTGAGCAACAGAAAATATGAACCACTGAAGTGGTTGCTGTACATCATTTTGGATAAATTGCAACAGGGAAGAGGTATCCATTTCTATTCTATTTCTCTGGAAACCTCATGGGTGTTGTCTAGAGATAACCATATGAGTTTTCTAACTGGACTCACTAAAATTATTGCTCTTTTATCTTTGATTAAAGTCCCACTGCTCCTATGACAACTTTAAACTTACCATTGGTGGCCTTGTATAGTCTGTCCTACAGGAGCCGTTCCCGAATCCACTGGATCAGAGTCATTCTTCTCCATAACAATATCTCTGATATCCCCAGCATCAATATCTCCAGTTTCCTTTCTTAAATTTAGGAAAGTCAATTTTAGTCTTCTTGAGACTCTGTCTTCTGTAATTCAGTGACTATACGCAGCCATACAACCATGGTCCTCTTTCTACCTCTTGGGCAGCTTCTTGCCTCTTCTTTTAGTGGTTCCAATTCTTTCTTCCCTTTGATGCTATTAAAAAAAAAAATACAGACCTGTTGCCATTGAGTCGATTTCAACTTACAGTGACCCTATAGGAGAGATTAGAACTGTCCCATAGGATTTCCAAGGAGCGACTGGTGGATTCGAACTGCTGACCTTTTGGTTGGCATCCGAGCTCTTAACCACTGTGCCACTAGATCTCTTTTGGTGCTATAGAAGGGGTAATTCTTTTTTTTTTTTTTTATTGTATTTCAGGTGAAGGCTTACAGAACAAATAGTTTCTCATGAAACAGTAGTACACATATTGTTTTATGACATTGGTTAACAACCCCACAACATGTCAACCCTCTCCCTTCTGGACCTTTTTTTTTTGGTGAAAATATACATAGCCAAAGATACACCATTTCAAAAATTTCTGCATGCACAGTTCAGTGACATCGACTATGCTCTTCCAATTGTGCTGCTATTCTTACTTTAGATGAAGGCTTACAGAACAAAATAGTTTCTCATTTAACAGTTAGTACACATGTTCCCTATGACAATGGTTAACTACTCACAACACATCAACACTATCCTTACTCAACCTTGGGTTCCCTATCACCAGCTTCCTTGTCCCAGAACGGGTAATTGTTGATGCAGATATTATAGGTAATTGTTATGGATGAATTTTGTTCCCACTCCCATATGTGTTGGAATCCTAACCCGTATACCCGTACATATAATCTAATCTAATGTAATGTAATCACACCCCATAATGCAGTCTAATGTTATGTTAATGAGGCCATACCAGCGTTGGATGTGTCCTAAACCTAATCATTTCTGAGTTATAAAAAGAGATTAGACACAGAGGCAAGCAGGTACTGGGTAAGGCAGATGCCATGTGGGTTTGCCAAAGAACCAAGGAAAGCCTGGGGCTACTAACAAGGAATGAGTTTCCCTAGTTTTCAGGGAATGGTTTCCCCTGTGACATCAATTCTCTGGTGGATTGAAGAAGACTTGTTGATTATCAGTTTTTCAGCTTATTTCTTGTTATGAAAGTGGGAGTGATTACTTCAAACTCTTTACATTCTAGACTAGAAACTGGAAGTTCTCCCTGCTTCTTTTTTAAATGTCTCATTCTGCTCAGAGTTAATTGAGTATAAAGGGAGTTCTTCAAAATCTCAGAGAAAGAAAATTCCTTCGTTAACAAGGTTAAGTTTGATGTCACGGAGACCAGTCCTTTCTCCCTACTTTTCCCATGGTGGAGTCACATGAACCTCGACCTCAGCAATTCCTACCATTTATCCTGTTTTCCAATGCTTTTTGCACACATTTATATTTCCTCCTAGTTCATTTCTAGTTCTTAACTGATTAAGGCATTGCTCATTTGGTAAAATCATCATGCCTTAAAAAAAATGCTTGAGATTATCTTGCATATATTGAAAAGAGAATATGTGGACCGAAATTTTGTTTCTGCCACTTACTAGCTCTGAGGTCTTGTGTAAGTTGCTTAACATCTCTTAGTTTCTGTGCCCTCATATACAGATGAGAAGTAATGAGGGTTCACAAAAGTATAATGAACTAATTGAGATGATATAGCTAAAATTCGTGGAAAATGTTTCCAATTCAGTATTATGCATAGACAAATTTGGGGTTCAATATACATTTAATTGATTTCTTTCTTAGTGTATAATGTTTTGTGAATTAATAGATAAGGGGTCTTGGGTTTTGATTTTCGGACAGCCTGAGTCCAGGTGCTAGACGTCCTGCATTCTGGTTGTGACTTCAGATATTTCTACATTTCTGGAACTAGGTTTAATCTTCTGTAAAATTGGGGAAATGTAAGCTTTTTAGAGTTATAGTGAAGATCCAATAATATGATCTTAAGAAATTATGTTGGAAATTATACGTTTCCATATCATTTCCCTCCAAAAATGTTTTTTTATTCATTTATTTAATTATGCATTCAGCTGCAAATTTATAGAAATAGCATACTATACACCAGGCATAGAACTTAGGTGGGTGCTAGGTATACATTAGTGAAAAAAAATGGAGTTATACATAAGTTTATTTGCTTATTTTTCTTAGGGTTCAAAGATTATCCGTCCTCACAAGTATTTTAGGATTTGGTAAACTACTCAGTATTCTCTTTTCATATGGTTATATGATGATGTTGATTATGCCATTTCAAAGTAAACTAAAAAGGCTGTTATAATCTACATTTTAGAAACAAAACAACTGCGGAAGAAAGTCAGATGTCTTCCCAGTACCTTCCGCTGTTTAATTGTGTATGGAAATGATAGTCTGACCAACTATATTTCCCATACTTTACCTGATTCACTACATTTCTTAAGGAGAGAATTGTATACATCTTACTGCTTTTAAAGACATTGCAAGATAAAGACTTGATTAGACTATTAATTTCCCAGAAATAAAACCCACGTGATACATTCAAACCTCTAAATAGGTGGAACTGGTAGGCTATTGGTCCTGGAGTATAGGAAAAAAAAAAGCAAGCTAAAACCAACACTAGAAGAAGCTAAGCAGCTGCTGCCGTTCTGAAGAGCCATAGCTGGGACGATGCTGACGGGAACTAGAAGCAAATAGAGAGGGGCCAGTCCCTTATCTTCATCCAACTTTCCATTCTTCCTCTAGATCCTATTTTGGCAAAGCCACCTGATATAGGAGAAATGTGATTTTCAGTGTCCCAACTCTAGCTCACAAAACACAGCATAGAAAAGTGAGTTTGACACTGAGAGACAATAGTTTAATGACATCAAAGTTACTATCTCATACAACAGTAGTCCCTACTTCTTTGGGTTGTTATGAATAAAGGAACTTAGAAATATAGCTGGCACATAGTAGTCAATCAATATATAAACTATTATTGTGTTCTTATTGTTGTTTTTAATATAAGTATTAGAATGCAGAGCTTGTTTCTTAGACTATAGATGAGGGGATTGAGCATGGGAGTCATCACTTCATAGAAGAGGGAGATGAGGGCCTCAATGATGTCTTGATTATCTGTACCAAAAAAATTTTTAGACTTGGGCTTTGTGTACATGAAGAAGATGGTTCCATAGAATATAATCACCACTGTCAGATGGGCTGAACAGGTGGAGAAGGCCTTCCGTTTTCCTTCTGTAGAAGGGATCCTCAAAATAGTGGCAACAATAAAAATATAAGAGATGGAAATTACTAGCAATGGAATAACCAGAACAATTAGATTTGACCCGGCCATGCTGATCACATTGATTGAAATATCAGCAGAGGCCAGTTTCAGGACAGCCAGAATTTCACAGACAAAATGGCTAATGACATTATTAGCACAGAATGGTAACTGCATTGCAAGAGATGTCTGCACCACTGAGTCAGCAAGCCCAGTGACCCAGGACCCAGCTGCCATGGGCACATAGGCGCCCTTGCTCATGATGACAGGGTATCTTAGTGGGTAGCAGATGGCAACATAGCGGTCAAGTGCCATCATGCCTAGGAGCACACACTCTGTGACCCCCATGGCAAAGGAGAGAAACATTTGCACCATGCACCCTGAGAAGGATAGTTTTTCCTACCTTAAAAATTCAGTAAACTTCACCAGTAAATCATGACATGAATAGACTGAAGGAAAAAAAAAGTATTTCAATAGATACAAAAAGTGAATTTGGTGAAGTTCAGTTCATAAGCTTTATATAAATGACCTGAAGTTCACAAATAGAAGGTAACTTCCTAAGCTTGTAAGAAAACCATATACCAAAAGCCTATAGCAAATTATTATTTACTCATAGTTAATGGACAAAGTTTACACGTTCTCCTTAAGATCTGCAACAAGATAAGGATACTCACTCTTACAGATACTGTTTAACACAGATTTAGCAGTCCTGGTCAAAACTGTAAGACAAGAAGATGTCAGAGTTGTAATAGAGAATACAATGATTATAAAACTTGATGAGAAAAATTAGTGAGATTGCTGATCGTGAGAGCAATGGAAAATATCAGTATTTGTCTCTGTATTAGCAATAAATGATCAGAAAACAGAATAGAAATAAATATAATAGAAATGATAGCAAAAAATATAAAGCGTTTGGGATTTATCCCAACAAAACATGCATAAGACCTCTACAGAAATAATTTTAAAAGTATAATAAAGGGCATAACAGAATATTTCAGTAATTGAAAGGGTATAACATGTTAATAAATGGGATAAAAACATAATAAGGAAGTGATTTTCTCCAAATTAGCCTATATATTCAATTAAATCCATTGGTTTTTTTTTTCTTTTTCTTTCTTTTTTTTTCTTTTAGGAATGTGAATCCTTATACTAAAATTTATATGGGAGAATAAAAGTACACAAATTGCACAGTCAATTTTTACAAGAAAACGCTAAGATGTGATCAAAGACAGGAGAAAAAATCAGGACAGAATGATATTACAGAAGTCAAGAAAAAAGAGTACTTTATACAAAGATTATGAATTGAACTTCACCAAATTAATTTGCACTGACTTGAGTGAGACCCAGCCTGTTCTTGTTTTAGGACATCATTTTAAGTCTGTGAGGTTAAGGTCAGAATGAGCCCCTTGGTAAAAGCACCAGCACAGTGCTATGTGGTAAGATCTGTAGGTAGGAAGCCAGCCAGTTTTCCCTGTTGAAATCTCTGAATCACTACACATGTTTTATTCAGACTTTCAGAATAAGTATTATCAGACTTACTTCAAAGAAGGGGAGACCATCTAACACACCAGCAGGACAAGATTTCATCATGTCAGTTGAATTTGACTTTGATGAGCTGAGGAGAAATACTCTGAGGTAATGAGCTGAGGCCAAAATGCATCAGCAGGGCAGCTAGCTGAGCAAACAACGTATAGAAGGGCAGTAGTCTTAAAAAAGGAGGATTCCCTGGGTGGTCCAAACGGTTAACTCACTCTGCTGCTAACTGAAAAGTTGGAAGTTTGAGTCCATTCAGAGGTGCCTCGAAAGAAAGCCCTGGTGATCTACTTCCAAAAAATCAGCCATCGAAAATCCTGTGGAGCACAGTTCTACTCTGACACTCATGAGGTCACTATGAATTGAAATCTACTCAATAGGAACTTTTTTTTTTTTAGTTAGAAAAAAAGGAGAAAGAGAAGTTAGCTGGTCAGTAAGATATATTAAATGGGGTGTTAAGAAATTATAATTTGTTCTGCCAAAATTGGGAACATTTGGAGTTTTGACTAGGGGATATTAGAAACTAAAACACTGAAGGAGGATAATATAGAGGTACTCTTTAGGATTATGCACTTTTCTCACCCATATTCAACTGTTCTAAAGGATTCAGCACAGCAATCTGTGCTTTGTAGATCTGAAATCACTGTTTTTCAGTGCAATCATTTTACCTTCTTTGGCTTGTAGTGAACTTGACTAAAAATTCATCTTCTTTTGGAATAAGCCACATTTGATCTACTTAATTTTAGGTCAGATTAGTATCATTAAGTCTCATTTCCCATGGCAAAAAAAGACAATCCTCCCATTTCCGCTAGGTTTTCAACTCTGTCCTGCAACAGTCAGTGAAAAGCAAAGTGTACCTAGCTTCATTGGAAGTGAAGACCAAATCTCTGTTGGGGTCCTCCCCAGCCAGGTCTTAACTGATTGCTTTAGTTATTAAACTAATCAAAGTTGTTACATCAACTGCGCATTCAGCCTGTGTTTTTCAACTTCTTTATGAGTATGAAGGGCAGAAAACCAGAGGAAAAGAAAGAAACATCCCTGTTAACAGGCTTGATCACAAGCTGGGAACCTAACCCTTAAGAAACTGCTATTCATGCCTTTTTTTATTTTTTATTTTTTAAGAGCTCCCTGCCAACACTTCTAGAAATACTAGTTTGTTCTGGCATTTTCTCCTCAGGTTCCCTCCAGAGGTCCCAAGGTGTACTGAACATTATAAAAAATTTGTAGTCATATGTACATGAGACCAAAAAAAAAAAAAAAAAATCTCAACTGCATCTCTTATGAACTCTGTGACATTATGCTGAATGTCTAGCTTCTCTTAGCTCTGTGTCCTCACTTACGTTTTGGAGTTAACAGAGGCTCATCAGTGTGATCTGAGTTTAACTGTAATCACATAGGCTAGGTTTATGGTACACAGTAGGAACATAAAGCGCATTTGCATCTTCCTTGGGTCTGTTGTTGTTGTTAGGTGCCATCAAGTCGGTTCCGACTCATAGTGATCCTATGTACGACAGAACGAAACACTGCCCGGTCCTTCGCCATCCTTACAATCGTAGTCCTTGGATCGAATTACCTTTAATTAAAAGAGTATGAGACCCAACCAGTGGGTCTTACACAACCCACGTCCACGTGCTAAATCTCTCACATACTAGGAAAGCGACCTAGGACTGCACTACACTTCAGAGTCTAGGTTTCCTCATCTATAAAGTTACCAATAGCTTCTTCATAGATTTTATAAGAGTATCCAGTTAAGATGATATGATGCTTTGAAAGCAATTTGCAAGTAAATGTAATATTCAAATGTCCATTTATTCACTCATTTAATATATAGCAATAGCCTAGTGTATACAAGGCAATATTACGGGGGTTAGTGGTGAGGAAGCAGTGGGAATGAATGGAATTGTTATTACATCTTATTTTCCTCAAAGCCAAAGGATAGTCGTTCATACAGGTAATTCCGCATTTGTCAAACAATTTGATGTTCTCTTTTCATATGATTTTATAATTTTAAAGCTTAAAGGGAATTGTCATAAGCTATTGCCCTTTCATTTTAGAAACAAGGAAAGCAATGCTGAGAGAAGGTAAATGATTTGCTGGGTGTTGTGTGCCTAATAAGGAGCCCTAGTGGTGCAGTGGTTAAAGCACTCATCTGCTAACCAAAGCTTGGTGGTTTGAACCCACCAGCTGTTCTGTGGGAGAAAGATGTGACAGTCTGCTTCCATACAGATTCACAGCCTTGGAAACACTATGGGGCAGTTCTACTCTGTCGTACAGGATCTCTGTGAGTCAGAATCTACTCAACAACAGTGGGTTTGGTGTGTTGTGGGTGTGCCTAGTGAATTGTGTGTAAGAAGTGAGTGTTGACTGACTAAAGCTCACACTCTTTTAAAACACTGTATTATCTCAGACAGGGAAATGTGTGCTGTGTAAATCTTATTGGTTTTAGTGACAGTCAGAAAGAAGATAAGGACTTGACTGGACAATTAAACCCAAGCAGAATGACAGACACATTGAGAATATGATAACCACAGACTTGAGCCAATGAGCAGCATTTCTGGTACTAATGAAAGCACTTAGCACAAAGCAGGACTAAATGGAAGAGATGCTCAGATTTTTTAAATTTTTCCTGGAAGATCTCTGTCAGCCTCTGGTAGACTTTTGACTGAACACCATAAATAATACTGTCAGAGTTCACTGTGGAACTAGGGCACTAGGATAAAGAAGTATTGATCACAAACGGTCCTGGGTTGAGGGGTTTTCAAAAGGATAATGGAAGAGGTGGTTTATGTTCACTCATGTTAACAGAGTTAGATAAAGGAATCATACTTTTTGTCTTAATTAATTTGAATTCAATAATTATTTTAAACAACTGTACAGATAATGTGATATCTCAGCTATTTTAAAAATCTTTTCATCGTTTTCAAATAATGGTCATAGCAACTGCTGGTGATAGTAAAAAAATGTATTGCAGTGCCATGCATTTGGGACAGAGGATTATTTTTTTCAATAGATTATAGGTCCAATAATAGTCTTCAAATTGCTTAGCTACTGAAGAAAATGAGAGATAATACACCTATTTTGCATTGATGTCTGTAGGTTGGAGCACCAGGCTGAAAAATCTTAATTTTCTCATTCTATCTACAGGGAGGGAATATGGAACAAGTATTTTTTGAAGAGGCAGGTGTGACACTGGAAAAAATCACTGAGTTTGGTCCCTAGATTTGCAACTCAGAACTTCCTTTTTTCTCTTATTTAAATGAGATCGATGCCTGCCTACAAGCTTTATTATGAAAATTACCCAGACAATGGACTAAAATATAATGCAAAGCTCTAATCTCACTAAGTGATGAAAAGTTGACAGATGAAAAGGTTAGATATATCCAGTTAAAACATACAAAATGATATTTTGTCCATAATTTGAAAAACAGTATTTACCAAAACAGAAGATGGAATTTATGTATCTCTGGCCTGAGAAATGGCTTTCCTATCCTTGATTTGAGGTCATCTTTCTTCCTTAAGAGCTGCTTTGCTTTACCTCAAGAAATACTCTCCATTTTATACAATCATGTACAGGATAAATCGGGGGGGGGGCGGATATTAATGAAAATTAGAGCAAGTGGGATGGTGTAATTATTTTCTTCAAGTTTCCACTTACCAGTAGATTATTCCTCAGGTAAAACTGATAGGTGAGGCTGTTGAAAATATTCTGACTTTCAGGCCAAGTTTCTTATTCAGTCTCAGAAAAAAAAAGATGAAAAGTGTTCTCTTAGGTCCGTGAGCCTTTATTCATGGGCCTTCTCCATTTGAACTCTAGAAACACCCTCCAAAGGGCCAGCCATTAACACAGCAATGCAACTTAAACTTTTTTGTGGGGTGGATGGGGTAGGGGTAGAGGGAAAACGTCCAATATTGCAACAAATTAAAGTCAGGAACATAAACATGGAGGATTAGGAACTTTCCAAAACTCCAGGGAGAAAGTCCCGTAGACACAATTATATCATATAATTGGTATATTCTTGTTGTAGTGCAACTCGAGAGACAAATATTGCCATCTACGTTATCATAATATTTGAAGATTTTAAGATGCAAACTGAAAATTTTTTAATGAACATTGTTTTTCTTTTTTTGAAATTATCTGAAAAGCTTTCCATTATTAATAGCATAAATTGCCATCATTTACATACATCACACACCCGTTGCCATCAAGTCGATTCCGACTCATTGCGACCCTACAGGACAGAGTGGGGTTTCCAAGGTTGTAATCTTTATAGAAGCAGACTGCCACATCTTTCTCCTGCAGAGGGCTGGTGGGTTCAAACCGCCAGCCTTTCAGTTAGCAGCCAAGTGCTTAACCACTGCGCCACCAGGGTTCAGTGCTTTCAAATACCTAATGGCATTCTCAGAACACTACCGTGAATTAGTACAATTATTCCTATTATACAAATGTTGAGTCTGTATTACTCGAAAGTTGTAATATTTTGAAAAGGTTGAATGTAAGCAATTTAAATTGACTGTTAAATGCCAGTAGAAGCATAAAACTGAGCTTTATTTTCTCTCTAAACGTAACTCAGAGTTGGAGCATATGGAACAGAATATATCCTTTTATCAAAAACAATTCCTCTTGACAGTACCAAGGGCTTGCATCCAAACCAATAATTTGTCACAGAAATGCATCCTCCTTTGTCAAAATTTGTCTATCAAAGCTTTGCCAGACAAACCTACTTTTTCAAATTGGTGGTTTCACCTTAATCTCCTACATATTTCTTCTTTAAAAAAAAAAACCAAAACCTGTTACTGTCAAGTCAGTTCTGACTGATAGTGACCTTGTACTACAGAGTAGAACTGCCCCATAGGATTTCCAAAGAGCAGCTGGTGGGTTTGAACTGGCAACCTGCTGGTTAGCAGCTGAGCTCCTAACCACTGTGCCACTAGGGTTCCATTTCTTCTTTAGTTGATTTCAAATGTAGTGTTATATTACTTGATCATCTGCCGTTTAATGCCAAAAAATCATAGCTAACACCTACTGAGTGGTGGGCATTTTCTGTGTATTTCACATAATTTATATAATCCTTATTGCAATCTTATGAGATAGGTGCCATTATTATCTTTATTTTACAGGTTGGGTAGCTGAGAAACAAAAAAGTTAAGTTTCTTGACCAAGATTATATAGTTTGTAAGTGGTAGGAACTGAGATTCAAATTTAGACAGTGTGGTACTAGAGTCTATACTGTAACCACTAGAGATGCTTGAACAAAAGAATAGAAAGATTAGAAGTAGTGTAAGTATGAGGGTGTTCTTACAAATCTGTATAATTAGGTAATTACTGAAGTATGCTGGAGTTGCCTTAAGAGTGGACCATGTCGGTGATGACCCAAAACCTTACTGTATTTATCTGTATCAGTATATTCAATCTGTATGCTGAGCAAATAATCTGAGAAGATGGACTATATGAAGAAGAACTCAGCATCAGGATTGGAGGAAGACTCATTAATTAACAACCTGCATTATGCAGATGACACAACCTTGCTTGCTGAAAGTTAAGAGGACTTGAAGCACTTCCTGGTGAAGACCAAAGACCACAGCCTTCAGTATGGATTACAACTCAACATAAAGAAAACAAAAATCCTCACTACTGGACCAATAAGAAACATCATGATAAATGGAGAAAAGGTTGAAGTTGTCAAGGATTTCATTTTACTTGGATCCACAATCAACACCCATGGAAGC